CTCATTATTTGGAATGGTTAAATATCTAGTATTTTGATTTTAAGGCAAATTTGTCAAATATAGCCCACCTAGCTTCATTTTTGTGTCATACAACTTATACCTCAATCCATAGTGTATTCTCATTCACAATTTTTGTGCACCAAAATATATATTTATATATTGAAGACATAAGGAGGATTGTTGCATTTCATTTTCCATGAATTTTTTGAAGTACCCTCATATTTATTTCGGGCACTTTGGCATTGAGAATGTACAGGTGGCCCACTTATGCTCCCTATGTGGTCAGCATTTTTTTTTTTTTGACAGGCAGAGTGGACAGTGAAAGAGAGAGAGAGAGACAGAGAGAAAGGTCTTCCTTTGCCGTTGGTTCACCCTCCAATGGCCACCACGGCCGGCGCACCTCGCTGATCAGAAGGCAGGAGCCAGGTGCTTCTCCTGGTCTCCCATGGGGTGCAGGGCCCAAGCACTTGGGCCATCCTCCACTGCACTCCCTGGCCACAGCAGAGAGCTGGCCTGGAAGAGGGGCAACCGGGACAGAATCTAGTGCCCTGACCGGGACTAGAACCCGGTGTGCTGGCACTGCAAGGTGGAGGATTAGCCTAGTGAGCCACGGCACCGGCATGGTCAGCATTTTCAAAATTAAACAGATGAATAAAAGCAACATTATGAATTCCAGTGTGTTGGCCAATTATGGATGGAAACAGAGTCAGGACACTTGAAGCAAATGAGACCCCAAGCCAGGTCAAGTGGGAAGGGGCATTTCTGGATAGGCTGGATAGGCCTGCAAACTCTCTCTTCCTGTGCTATCAAGTGGTAGCCACACATCAGATATTTAGTGTTAATTCAATCATATTTTCATTTTCCTGAGGGCATTTGGCATGCAAATTTTTTCTCCCAAGATGACTGAAAGGATTTGCTTTTGGCAAAAGTGATTACATTTACTTTGTGTGATCTCTTTTGACAATGTACCATGGACCTCTCCCCAGAAGAGTATGTGGTGTCAGTGTTTATAAAATCATCCATATTTCTTGCATACTTTTTTTTTAAATCACAGACTTTAGCCTCCTTTAAGCTGATCCCTGGATACCAGCTCCAGAATGGAAGGACAAAAGGTTCTTGGGGGTTCAGGAAGTTAGAAGTTCAAGGCTTCTCAGAGTTAGGGTGTAGGAATAATAGTCTTAACATGGCTTATTCTCAATGTCTATTATTTCATGAAGTATGTCTACACTGGGTAATGTAATAAAAGCACTCTCTTTCCTGGTCTCTGATTCTTTTGAAAATTTTCTAGTACATTAAAGGCAAATGACCTTTAGGAGAAAAACAGAACCTGCGGTTTTCTGTGAAGTTTAAAAATTGTTCTTTCTGACATTTAATTTTGGCCTATTGGTTAGCTTCGGCTCCCATTTGACCATAGGAATCCAAGAAGAATTCCAAACAGATAGTAAATATTCTAATTGCACTTGAACATTTCCCTAGAAATTGTCCTTTAGAACCCATTTCCCATATTGTTTTTAGTTCTGATCTCACTAACCTCAAATCACTGTATTAAATGGACCAAATGAACGATAATTCATACTTTTAAAACTTTGCTCTATAACTTTTGTTTTTTGATGTAAAATAAATAAAAATACCAAATAGAATGGAAAACCAAAAAAACTCTAAATAAGACTTCAGAATCACATATACCACTTTTTCCCTAAATGTCAAATACATAACATACATTTTTCTATGTACAATTAACACACATTGTTATATATACAATGTCCATTGGTCCAGTGCTTTACCAATGCATAAGTAAAACATTTTGGCTTTCAGAAATAGGACACTTAGAATTAGGAAGAAGTGAGTTAAGGAGATTTTCAACCATGTGCCACATAAAGAAATATTATGCATTTTAAACTATAAGATGTACTGGAAATACTAAAATGTCTTTTTTCTTTATTAATAATATCAAGGTTTAGTGACATATATGGTCTGCAGCACATCACATCTGCACATAAATGAATTGCCTTGGTCAATCATTGTTGCTTACTTTCAAAGAAATATTGGTTTTCTCCAAGAGCAGTTTATGTCATATGCAAAACTGCCAAACTATTGTGAAGCTGTTAGTTTACCAAAAAAAAATTTTTTAAAAAAGCAATAAATAAAATGCGTTTATTACTGCAGAATGGTTTCATCTCCTTCTAAGTATCAGCTAGCCTTGTACCTTTTCCTCTCCCCACTAGTAATGCTTTTGCTTCTGTGAAGTGATTTATACTTGAACTTCTGATCTGTGTTTTATATAATCCATCAAGACAGGAATCCTACTGCATGGGAAAAGTCATTAGGAGGAAATAAAAATCTGAAACACATTGGAGTTTTATTTCACTGGTGCTACTTTTATTATATCAAATGCAGTTCTGACAAGCTACATTCTGCTTGGTTGGATGCCTCCGTTTTCCAGTCAACCGGCTTATTCAGAGAAGAGTGAACGTTCATTCTTGCAGAAAAAAATCCATGCTCCGAAAGAGGATGACAATGATGATCATCTGTTGTAATTGGGAGTTAACAATGCAGGATCTGGGGCTGCTCTTCAGATCTGCTAAATCCGTCTGCATTTTAAGCAGTGGGCTCTGGTTGCTATGCTGTTTTTCTCTCTGCAGTTACCCCTTGCACCGAGAAAGGAAGAGATGGGCTGGGTCTCTGCCAGTTACTGGCCGCAACTCTTTGCATGGTAATACACATGATGTCAGTTTTAAATAACTAGCAAACTCGGATTTACCTTAAATCTTGACAGGTAATATGAAATTCATTTTTATGAAAACCAGCAAGTCGTGCATTGGCAAAATGATTGATTTAGGCAAGCTGGCTTTAGGGAACTTCAGAAAGTTTGTAGAAAATGGAATTAGGACGTAAGTTTATTTTGGTGCAAAGAAATCTGAAATCCATGTATAGATTTTTTTTTGTAAAGTACATTTTCCATGAGCTTTTTGAAGACCCCTCATGTTTCTTGGGGTGTCTAGCTTTAGGGACATCCAAACATTCCAGCTTTTTGCTTCGTGTGTATGGAACTGATTAGAATCAGGAATCAATTTCAGGTATCAAGAATAACTTTTGAGTATTGCATTCTCTAAACTCTTCTCTTTGTTTCTATGACAATGAAGATAAGCACATCTTCACTGTAGGAAGCTCACAATAGAAAGGAGAAAAGGATTGAGGAGGAGCATTCTAATTCGATACAGATTTCTCTTACTTGAACTGACAACACACTTTGAGCTAAATTCTGGGTTTCTTCTAGATTATGCGTAAATCTAATCCCTTCCTTACCTCATGCCAGTTTATGTGAGGGGAAAATAACTGAGTAAATAATTTTATATGACAAAACTTTGATAGAAGCATAAAGGATGCATAGCTTTTAAGACAAATGTTTACATGTCATGCTGGCTAATTTTGTTAGCTAATTTTCATGGTGCTGAAAAGTTCATAAATACTAAAAATGCTAATTTAGTAAAGTGTGACTTGAATAGCCTCGAGTAGGTCACTTCCTAAATTTTTATTGCATGTTCGTCTTTTTCCCTCTTGGCTTACAAAATAATACTGAAGAAAGTTAAGGACAAAAAAGAAATTTGTAGAACTTGTGTCAAAAACTAAATATTCCAGGAGTTTTCTAGAAATTTGTCAATATTTTGTTATCTCTTGATTAACTTATTTTCTGTCTTGGGTTGGTGGTGTTTTCTAAAGTTACTGCATTTTCATCTGGCAGCACTAAGGGTTGGTTGGTCTTGTCTGGACTCAATGACAAGTAGGCTAATGTGTATTTTTGATCTTGAGACAAGTTTACACATTAGTTATAAATGAATTCTCCCATTACTTCAAAATGATTGGTAGAGCTTTGCTTTATTAAGTAGCAAAACACACCAGGTATAAACATAGAGCCAACTGTCTTTCCACATTTTAGGGCAGTGATTTTAGGATTCCTGATGATGTGGCCATGCCTTGTTTGGCATTGGAGACCAAAGGCCTGACACTTGGTTGTGGGCTAAATACATGTTGACTTAAGTATTGCTGTTGATAGTTCTATGTGTTGTTGATGGAGATTCTGAGGCAACGCCATCTTTAGAGAAGATCATTATTTATGGGTGAACTACAATGAATGAGTGGCTGGAAAAGCACAGTATTCTCATGTCTTGATTGCACCTTGCTTTCTCAAATTACCATAGCACATGCATTAGTTGTTACTGCACCTCCTTCCACCTGTCGCTGAAGACATGCTGAGGGCCACAAGCACCCACAGAAAATGCAGGCATTCTCATCAGATTTTCTTTTCTTTGAAAAAACTATTATTTTAATGTTAAGATTGAGTGATTTTTAGCATTTTGCCAAGATTCAACTTTGGTATGTAATACTAATACACGTACATATATAAATACTATGTTTCTTGAAAGCCAGGATAGTATTATCACAAACTGTGGGATTTATGGCAGTGATCATACAGTGGGGAAATTAAGCTTTATTGTCATGTGCATGGTATAATTCAGTGAGCAGTATTTATAACTCCATGCCAAATAATACAACATCTTCACAATTTTTATATTCTGTCTATATTAACTTCCACAAATAGGAGAAAACATTAATATTTGTCTTTCTTTAAATTTTGGAGAAAAGGGCCTTCTCTCTATATATAAAGTTCTATATAATGTTTGTGGGAATGCAAATTAATGGAACCATCATAGAAAACAGTATGGCGATCTCTCATCAGATGTTCACATATTGGTATTTGTAGAGTAGCTCATGATTGATGATTTCTTTTTTCCTAGAACGCCCATGAAGCACTGATCTCATTCAAAGAAACTATTCTCCTCCCCACAAACATTAAAGTAAAAATATGGGGGTCTTGCTCTTCTACAGCTGCCTAATAATTACTTGGTAATGAGTCTGGAAATTAAGTTCTAGTTACTTTGTGAAATATCTGTCTCTTTCTGGGCCATATTTCCTTAGGAATAGAATTCTTTTCTAATTAGTTTCGTTTGCACTGATTTCACTCTGAAATATTTTACATTTCAATTCAATTTTTCTTTTTTAGCTGTATTTTGGGGTGATATTGCCTTAGATGATGAAGACTTAAATATCTTTCAAATAGATAGGACGATTGATCTTACACAGAATCCTTTTGGACAGTTTGGACATACCACAGGTACAGTTGATTTTTTCATTTACTTTGTGTTCCTTTTGTATGAAATATACTTTTTGAAATTTTGTAGCTACACTGAGTCATTTTCAATGTTCCGAAGATCGCCTGTGGTTTCCTGCACACAAATAAACATATTACGAAACTGAGATTCTATTCATATTTTTCATCATGTTAATTTAGTCAACACGTTGTAGTGTTCACACTGTACAGACCTGGCTTAGACCATATGGAGATATTAATTCTTTGAGTACCCATAGCAACCCCAGGAGGGTAAGTACTGATACTACCGTGATTCACAAGTGAGCAGATAGATGATTTCTTGTTGTCAGAGTCAGGAAGTACCTGAGTCAGCCCCAGAGTTCAGTTCTGAGAAAGCCCAGATTTCATACTCTTGAACATGATATTATGTTGCTTTCCATCTGGGTATCAGTTGCAGAATGTAAATTATTCTTAATTATATAGCTGTTGGTTGAGAAGACTCCATCAATATCTATACTGATGTCTGTGTACTCAGTGTTTATGAAAACTCCAGAATGTAATTTCAGTTGTTTTGAACATGTTGAATTATGCCTATGTGAGACTTGAAATATTTAAAAGATTTTCTTCTTTTCATTTTTCAAATACTTTTATTTAATTAAAAAATTCTATTTTAATTCATGTTAAATTTTGGAGAAAGATTTAAAGGTTAAAGTTTCTTGTTTTGGCTATACCTTCCAAATTTACTTGATTTAATGCTTTTTGATCTCATTGCATTTCCCCTGTCCACCTTTACCATTTTTATTTTCTTTTTCTGTCCATGGAGAGTAAAATATGTAGTAAAATATATAGTTTCTGTTATCTAGCAGACAGATACAGACTGTCAATATCTGTTTACCTGATTTTCTCTTTCAGTAACTTTTTATTGTTACAAATTTTTAGTAAATGGAAAAGTTGATAGGACATGCAAGGACCACCAGAGTAGTACAATTCTTGGATTCATTAGTTTATCATATATGCCCTGTGTGTGTGTGCATATACATGTGTAAGTGTGCATAAAGCAACATTTTTACATTAATTATATAAAATATAACACTTTAATATTAGGTAGTTTAGCATGCACTGTCGAAGAATAAGAAGATCCTAGGTAATCAAAATGCTACTGTCACATCTATGGCGATTATTTGAAGTAACAAACATGTAAGATGAAACCTAAGAAATTTGTTCAAAATAGTAGCAATATTAAAAATGGTGTGCCTTTGTTATTTAGAGTGGTCATCATTTCTGAAGCACTCACAACGTAGGGGGAAAGTCTTATTTTGCAGTGGAATCACTCATTCTACATTCCTGAAGAATATGTCCATTGACAGAGTCTCTCCTGTGTTACACTTGACACTGACATGGAGGCAACTGCATAGGGACAGGAAAACAATGATACAACTCAAGCAAAATTCTAGATTTATTTTAAATTGTGTGTTCAACTTTTATTAAACTTTTTATTAGCTTCAGTCTCTAGAGGCATTAATTTTCTGTGATTTAAGATTTTTAATACTATTATTTAATTTTATCATTTTTAAGGTTAAACTGATATCTTAATAGTTAGAGGAATATACTGTAGTTTTAAATCTATAGAGTAAAACATATACTCCTAATAGTAAAAATATTTACTAAAAATGTGTGTGAAAGGTACACGTGTTTGAAAGTTTTGAAATTCAAACAATGTACAAGTGTATAGCATTTTTTCTTACTATGTCTTTTTTATTCATATTAATTTGTACAGATTTGATTGCTTTTCTCAGAATTTTTCAATTTCAAAATATATGGCCTTTTCAGTAAAAATTTATTTAAGTTTTGCATTTTTCATTATGTTTTAGAACATGTACGAAATAACCAGTCTTCTTCCTTTTATATTTCAATGAACTACCTACACATAATTATATTTCAGTTGCTATAGAATCACTCAAAATTGCTAAAAATATTACTAGGAACACTTTTGCCACTGATGCTCTTGAAACAATATTTTTTGCAATTTGGTAATTACTCTTATCTTTATAATTACTATAATATTAATGAAGACATTTTCTTTTCTCATGATTAGTTCCCTCCTAAATCTATTTATATCTGTTTCAGGCCCATCTAACACAAATGGTTGCTACATAATGGTCATTTAAAACACATAGATGCCATACTTTAAAAATGTTTCTTGTAACTGCTTAGGAATGGATATGTTTAAGTATTATCTCATCTTGCTAGAATGTTCAGTGAAAAATTTCAAAAATGTTTCTGAAGATGCATAGCAGAAATGTGACCAAGTAATGCAAACAATTAAGCAGGTTATTAGCCACTGAACAAGCACTCTAACTTACTTACCTTATAAGGACTTAAGTGATTTTTCCTTTAAAGAACTTGTACGGAAATAGATGTTATTATTATTTTTTTAGCTCCAATGTAGGAAATTAGGTTTCAGCATTAATTTCAAAGGAAAAGTAGATATTGGAAGGAAATAGCTTAAAGTTTGAAAAGTTTTCTTTCTCGGTGGATTTTGGGCTGCCTTTCATTGTCTTAGCCCGAAAAGACTCCATGAATACACCAGACACTCTAGTGATAGTGATAGAATTTCATCTGTACTTGTTCTAATGACATTACTAGTGACAAATATTTCTCGCTTATTGATTAAGAACTTAAAGAAATAGGTGATAAAATTGCATATTGCATTTTAGGAAACCCCAAGTTAAGAATTATGGAGCTTGGATTTGTGTTGAATGTTATGCTGTTTGACTTATGATATGAACCTACTTTTTCTAGTCTCTATCTGGTAAATTGCACGAAGACACATTTATTTATTTCTATCTTCTTTTTGTACAACCAAATTGTGCACATCTATTTTTATAAATTTTTCAAATTACTTTGCATAGCAGAATGTATTTTGCAGGTGAACATTGTTTTTGGATTCTTATGATTTTTTCTAATGATAGATTATTGGTTTTTATGGATGAGAGAAACTATTTTTTTAAAAGGTTTACAGATATGCTTTTTAAAAGTTTTCCATTTTGGTGAAAACTTCGGAGCAAAACTTGGTGATGCATATTTTCTCTTCCAGTGTTCTTATTTCCACTTGCTAATTTGGCCTCTGGAAATATTCAGTTTGCATTGGGGAAAGAGCTGGAATGCAATCAAGTAGGACAGAACTCCTTGCTGTCATTCTGTATAACAGCATGTGATGTCAAGGTCACAGTGAAGAAAAACATTTCACATTAGCAACAGATGACTCAATTATCTTAATGTCCAAATAAAGTCATTTACGTTGCTCTCGGAATTCTGCTCGCCCACCTTATTTTTAGTTATCTTCATTTATTGCTATAGAATTTTTACCCTCTACAAAGATTTATGGCTACTCATAACTCTAATACTTTAATAGCACATGCAAAAAGATGTTCAAGCATAATCAATGTACTCTATTACCATTAATTATTTGCAATAAGTCTAAAGTATGCTAAATGTAACTTAATTGTTTTCTTTGATTCTTTAAGGTGGACTTGGAGATCATGGTGTATCAAAGAAACGAGGAGCCCTCTACCAGCTTATAGACAGGATCAGAAGAATCGGCTCTGGTATATCAATGTTTAAAGTTGCAGACGCTTGACTTGATGTACAGTAAATATTATACTCATAGCAGTTCAGTTCATTGAAATCAGTATGCAGTATGATGCAAAGAATATGTGTTGAGGGTCTTTTATTCTTTTTTGTTCTGTTGGTTCATATCTGTTGGCTCATTCATTATATAGGAAATTTCAAAATGTTCCCTTAACTTATTTCAGGCTTTTCCCAAGTGAAAATTGATTTGGCATTTGTTTATTTTATTGTTGATACTAATTTTCAGTTAATTGGACATCACACCAAAGTTTTGATATAAAGCATGGAGCTGATTCAATCTCAATTAAATGTTTTAAAAGTCATGAATATTTGTCTTGAAAAAAATCTACTTAAAAGTTAACAAACTGATTTATTAGGTTGCAAAATAGTTTAAAATGTTTTGAATCTTTGGGAGAAATATATGTAAACATTCATGAAAACTACCTTCTGGTTTCATGATTAGTATTTATAGTGTTTATTAGTCACTATTTGTAGTTAAGAGTTTCTATAAAAGCCCTTTCCTCATAGCTCACATCCTAACATCCCTTAAATTGGTCATTAAATACTTGAAGTACATACTTTAAGTTACTAATTTTCCTAAGCAAAGATGCTTTGCTCCAGAATATCGAAAAAAAAAAAAAAAAAAGACGTGTTAGAGACATTTAATGTATGTAATGTTAATGTGTGTACTGGTGGGAGAGCTTTATCAATTTTAGTATATGTGCTGCCGAAGCGAGCACAGTGGGAGAGCTTTTCTACCAATAGTAATAATTGAATAAAGAGAATAATCAAGCAAATTTAAGAAAAACAAAAACAGTAAAAAATATTATGAAAGGTACTAAGGAAAGTAAAAAAAAGTAAGTATAGGGAGTGGGCATTAAGCCCAGCTGTTAAGATGGCCACCTCCCATATCAGAGCGCCTGAGTTCAAGTCCAGCTTCCAATTCCAGCTTCCTGCTAATGTACATCTTGAGAGGGGCCAGGCGGATGAGGGCTCAAGTACTTGTGTCCTTGCTTCCCATGTTCTGAGCTCCTGGTTCCCAGCTTTGATGCTCATCCAACTCTGGCTGTTGGCAGCATTTGGGGAGTCACCTAGTGGATGACAACCTATCTATCTGTGTCTGTCCCTTTTTGACTTTCTGTTTCTCAGATAAATAAATATTAAGAAAAGAGGAAACCTGTAGCCGTGAAAGCTGCTCCAGATTATGTTAGCCTGTGTTGACCTCTAAATCGTGATGAGGAGGAGATTAAGATGGACAGAGTTCCTCGTCCCAACTGGACCCGGACTGTCTCTATCTTGATGTTATTTTACTGTCTATAAAATGAAATATTCATTATTTTAGGCTTTCATACAAATAGCAGTCTGATTTAAATATTGGAAGTTTAGCATGAGTAAGGCTAGTTTTGGGTATCATAGGATATTCAGGGTAGCAATATATGTTTTATTACCTGTTTGTGCCTTGTTAGTGAACTACCAAGTTAGCAAACATCAACAATTTTTCTATGACCTAAGTTTTGTCTGGTGTAGGCTGTTGTCTGGAGATTCATCAAAACTCATCGATGGGATCTCAATAAATAATGTTTTGATGTGGAATACTTCTACATTGTAATGCTCCTCTCAAGCATGTAATATCCCAAGTTTTTCTTTAATGTGCCTTGATTTATATACATATGTAAATAAGACATTTCATCTTTTGTCCTTTAAGAGGTAAACGGTTCCCTGACCCAGGACGTCTGTTTCACAGAATGTTTTAAATGTCATTGCAGGCTTGGAGCAAAACAGCACAGTTAAGGGAAAAGTACCTCCAAAATTCTCAGGGCCAAATGAGAAAAACCGAGTTCCCAGAGCTGCCACATCAAGAACTGAGAGAATCTGGCCTGGAGGGGTTATTCCTTACGTTATTGGAGGCAACTTCACTGGTAAGTGATTCTCAGAATGTTTACTTTGATGGAGAAGTAAAAACTGTCATACAGATTCAGTATGTTCGTAGGATATTGTCAAAAACGGAGTATGAAATCATACTTGTAAAAACACTCCGTTAACCTAGGTTATTAGTTTAAAATGTTTTTGAATTAAAAAAATAAATTTAACCTTGTGCTCTAAGAGTGTGGAGTTCCATTTTTTTAAGATTTATTTATTTAAAAGGCAGAGTTACAGAGAGGCAGATGCAGAGAGAGAGAGAGAGAGAGGTCTTCTATCCGCTGGTTTACTCCCAAGCTGGCAGCAATGGCTGGAACTGTGCCGATCCGAAGCTAGGAGCCAGGAGCTTCTTCACAGTCTCCCACGTGGGTGCAGGGGACCAAGGATTTGGGCTATATTCTATTGCTTTCCCAGGCCATAGCAGAGAGCTGGATAGGAAATGGAGCAGCTGGGACCCGAACCAGCACCCATGTGGGATGCCAGCACTGCAGGTGGCAGCTTTACCTGTTACACCACAGCGCCAACCCCCCGATTTTGTTTTTAAACTGAATTTCAAATGTGCCCATGAAATCTGGAAGCTGATCTCCTTTCAACTGACAGGGTGAATGTATGTCCCATTTATAGAGACTTGTACACACATATGCAGAGTGAAGGAGCCTTCATCTTCTGATTGTAAAGGGAGTGCCCGTTTTCAACAAGGACCCGTTTGTGGTGCTATGAATCAGTAGTCGTTGGCTGATGATAGCAGTGGCATCTGTATATCACTAAGCCACACAGAACGGAGGAGCCAGCACACAGCACTCCTCTCTGGGGTGGTGGACACTTTTATTAACATCATTCAATTTTTCCAGGCAGCCAGCGAGCCATGTTCAAGCAGGCCATGAGACACTGGGAAAAGCACACGTGTGTGACTTTCATTGAAAGAAGTGACGAAGAGAGTTATATTGTATTCACCTACAGGCCTTGTGGGTAAGTAGAGCCCGGAAATGACCTATATAAGTTTAGCAGGAAAAAATTAAAACTCATGGGTAGGATTTGTTTTGTAATATGTGCTTTGTATTTTGGCCATGAAAGGTGTGATTTTTACATATGCAAATGTTACTCTTTGAGAGGACTTCAAAAATTTATGAAAAAGGAATTAAAATATCAATTCGTATAAAAATTCTGAAAGCTACACATGGAATTTTTAGAACAGACATTTCTCATGAACTTTCTGAAGACCCCACATCTAAACATATTGCTTGAAACAGATCTTTGTGCATCTGACCATGGTGTATTTTGTCCACCACCTCAGCTGTTTTATGAAGATCAACTCACGGTTGATCTTTCTTGCTTTACCAATTCACTGCCACTAGAGTTATCTTCCGAAAATACTGGTCAGGGGCTGGTGTCTGGTGCAGCAATTGAGACATGGTTTTGACGCTCTCTGATTCCACCTTCCTGGTAACGCACACTCTAGGGGGCATCTGGCGATGGCTCAAGCAGCTGGGTCCTGCCAGCCTCATGGGCTACCTGGATTAGATTCCTGGCTCCCAGGTTTGGCCTGACCAAACTTTGGCTGCTGGAGGCATTTGAGGAGTGAACCAGTGGAGGGGAGATCTCTGTCTAATTCTCTCTGTGTCCATTCCTCTCTGCATTTCAGATAAATGCGTGATTGATTGAATGAATGAATGACTAAATACTGGCCAGAGCAAGTGCCACTTTCTGAGATTCATTGATGTTTCCACCTAGGGTGATATTTTCTAGATTGTTTTCTTACAGGATGATGAAAAATACTCCAAATAAAATCATTAAGTTTTGGAAGTGCTATGTTAAATTCCAGTAGGTATTTCTATAGCAGAGTGCTAATGAATGTTATTAATATTTAACTAACCGAAAGGAGTATGTTTGCTAAACTTATGTAAAATATGGAATATCCACCTCACCTTTTAAAAGAGAAGAACATACCTCAATATCCCAAGAACATTTTGGGAAATGCTGGCTTGAGAGTAAAATCCTAAGTCCTTGGTATAACATTTAAGGAACGCCACGAACTTACCACAGCTTCCATTTTTGGCTCCTTCTTCCTCCACATCTCTCCACATATCCCAGAATCCAACCAAGATACAGGACAAGCCGTTTTCCAAGTAATTTATGTCTTAGAAGACTTTTTCTCAAAAGAGTTTTCAAACTTCTCTTCCCAGCACTTTTAGTTATTTGGAAATTATATCGAAAGATTTGATTCACTCCAGCTTAAAGTTTTGGCTTGTTTGCCAAGAATACTTGGTACTGGATTAATTTATATTGCATCCCCTCAGGAGGCAAGCGTGCCTGGGTCTGCCGTTCCAGTGACTGCTCTACTGGGTTTAGTGATTGCTCAGTTGAATGGAGTGTTGGTGGGCAGGTGCTTCCATTGTGAATGTCTCCAATATTACAAAACAGTGATTTTTAAAATAATTATTTATATAAAGGGAACAGGTTTCAGGTGTTTCATTTATATAGTTTTAAGAACATGATGATAATTCCCACCCACCCTCCTCCTTCCTTTTTGATTTTTCTTTTGATTTTTGGTGATGCCATACTTTTGTTTTCCACTTTACTTTATAATCACAAGTTTAATCCTCCATTACATAAAAAATTTATCAAGTAGCAAGTAGAAAGATCCCTGTTTCTCAGGAGTATAGACAAGGGCTATAAGCAATAATCAAATATCAAGATGTCAATTTCACACTTAAAAATTGCCCTTTTTTATACTCTATATATTTGTTACCACAACTCAGAGAAAACATGATATTTGTTTTTATTTTCTCAAGGCTGGCTTATTTTACTAAGCACAATGCTTCCAGTTCCATCCATTTTGTTGTGAAAGACAGGTTTCATTCTTTTTTATGGCTCAGTAGTATTCAGTTGTGTACATATCCCATTTTATTTATTCAATCATCAGCTGATGGCCATCTGGGTTGATTCCATATCTTAGTTATAAACAGGGGGTCACAGATCACTCTTTTATATGCTGATTTCATTTCATTTTGGTAAATTCCCAGGAGTGGGATGGCTGGATCATAAGGTAGTTCTGTTTTTAGCTTTCTGAGTAATCTCCATACTGTGTTCCATAATGGTACTAGTTTATATTCCCACCAACAGTATCCTAGGGTACCTTTCTCCCCATATCCTCACCAACATTTGTTACTTTTTACATTTACTTGCTGTGGATTCTAACTGGGGTGAGGCGAAACCTCATTGTGGTTTTGATTTTCATTTTCCTGATGGCTACCGATCCTGATGTCTATTGGCCATTTATATTTAATCCTTTGAAAAATGCCTGTTCATGTCCTTAGCCCATTTCTTAAGTGGATTGTTTGTTTTGTTGTTGTTCAGTCTCTTGAACTCCTTACATATTCTGAATATTAATCCTTTAGCAATTTTAGTTTGAAAATATTTTCTCTCATTCTGTCAGTTGCCTCTTCATTTTGTTGAGTATTTCCTTTGTTGTCCAGGAACTTTTTAGCTTGGTATAATCCCAATTGTCTCTCTTTGCTTTCCTTACCTGTGCTTCTGGGGTCTTATCCAGGAAATCTTTGCTCATCCCAGTGTCTTGCAGTTTTTCCTTATGTTTTCCTTTAGTAGTTCAGTAGTTTCACGTCTTAGGTTTAAATCCTTAACACATTGTGAATTGATTTTTGTGTAGGGTAAAAGTAAAGATCTTCTTTCACACTTCTCTATGTGGAAATCAAATTTTCCCAACAGCATTTGTCAAAGAGACTGTCCTTTATCCAGAGCATGGTTTTAGCCCATTTATCAAAGATTAGTTCGTTGTGGATATGTGGATTAATTTCTAGAGTTTATATTCTGTTTCATTAGTACACATGTCTATGTTTGTGCCAATACCAGCTGTTTTGAATATAACTGCCCTGTAGAATGTCTTGGAAATCAGGTATAGTGATGCCTCCAGCTTTGTTTTTATTGTTTAAGATTGTTTAAGCTACTCAGGGTCTCTTGTGTTTCCATCTGAATTTTAGGGTCATTTTTTCTAGATCTGAGAAGAATTTCTTTGGTATTTTGATTGGTATCACACTAAATCTGCAAATTGCTTTGGGTAGTATGGATATTTTTGATCTTAATTCTTTCAATCAATGAACATGGAAGCTTTTTTTCCATTTTTTGGTTCTTCTATTTCTTTCCTTAATATTTTATAATTTTAATTGTAGAAATCTTTCATGTTATTGGTTAAATTTATCCCAAGGTATTTAAATATTTTTAGATATTGTGAATGGGACTGATCTCACAAGCTTTTTCACCTATGTCATTGTTTCTGTATACAACGGCTACTGATTTTGTGTCTTGATTTTATATCCTGCAACCTTACCAGATACTCTTATGAGTTTAAGTAGTCTCTTAGTGGAGTCTTTTGGTTTCCCTATGTATAGGTTCATGTCATCTGCAAATAGGGATAATTTGACTTTCTCGTCTCCCATTGGCATCCCTTTGATTTATTTTTCTGACTGTGGCTAAAACTTCTAGAACTATATTGCATACTAGTGAGAGTGAGCATCCTACTCTGGTTATGGATCTTTGTGGAAATGCTTCCAGTTTTACCTCATTCAGTATAATGTTGGCTGGGGATTTGTCATATATTGCCTTGATTGCATTTAGGTATGTTCTTTCTATAACCAATTTCTTTGAGGTTTTTATCATGAAAAGATGTTGAATTTCATTAAGTACTTTCTCTGCATCTACTAAGATAATCATGAATTTATTCAATTTGTTCATGTAATATATCAAGTTTATTGATTTGCATATGTTGAACCATCATTGTTCTTTTATTCTTTCCACATTTATTATCTGAAATTTTTCCACATAGATGAATTTTCTCTAATCTACCACAGTCATTTGAATACCCTATAGTGTAGTTCAGTTAGGCAAGTCAAAATAAATGCTTAGTTTTGCTAGAGAAAATAGTTTTTGAGCTATTGACATGCACTTCTGGGAGGAAAAATATATATTTTCAGTAGTTCTTAGAGAGGGGCATTGTGTTATTTCTGTACATTATATTTGCCTAGATCTCTTAACTTAAAAAGGTAATATATATTAGTTTTTGACTTATTTGACAGTAAGAAAAAATTGTACATCAGTACCTTCATGGATATTTTTGGATAGTGCCATAAATTTTTAGTTATGACTTACTCAGCACTGATTCCTTCTAAATCACTCTATATTTGGCTTGAAAACTTTTGTTTACATCTGAAATTCTTCCTAGTATTTTCTATTGATTTGATATTTAAAAGGCCCAAATAGTGACTGTCCTTCTATCCTTCCAGTTATTTAATAAGAATGGTTGTGGGGACAGCGCCGTGGCTCACTTGGTTAATCCTCCACCTGCGGGGCCGGCATCCCATATGGGCACCGGGTTCTAGTCCCGGTTGCTCCTCTTCCAGTCCAGTTCTCTGCTGTGGCCTGGGAAGGCAATGGAGGATGGCCCAAGTGCTTGGACCCTGCAACCGCATGGAAAACTGAGAGGAAGCACCTGGCTCCTGGCTTCAGATTGGCGCAGCTCCGGCCATAGCGGCCATTTTGGAGGGTGAACCAACAGAAGGAAGACCTTTCTCTCTGTCTCTCTCACTGTCTAACTCTGCCTGTCAAAAAAAAAAAAAAGAGAGAGAGAGAATAGTTGTAACTCAGCTTACATGTTTTTAAATACAAAATATATTCAGATCTATATATCTTTCCTCTCTCCCGCCTTCCCATTCTAAAAAATAAGCACATCCAAAGCACTGATAACTTACTCTGTTTTTTCACTCAGTTTTTGAGTGCAATAAATTCATTTTTGTACACATTTTCTTTGATTTGTTGTCAGAGTTCCTCAACACTTGTGGCTTTTTTTTTTTTTGTCTTTTTTTTTTTTTTTTTTTTTTTGACAGGCAGAGTGGACAGTGAGAGAGAGAGAGAGAGACAGAGAGAAAGGTCTTCCTTTGCCATTGGTTCACCCTCCA